ACACACATATATGATATAAATATATCATACATATAGAATTTGCTTAAATAACTGTTACTGCTATTATATGCAAATACATGTTTTAAGACTAAAAATCAACTGAAACATAACTTAAATGGAGCCCCACTGCTAAACTGTGCTTTGAGAAGAAAATCAAGAGAGAGAATTCCGGTTTCCTCTGACATGAGCCCACGTCCCGCAGCTCTGGAAGTTCAGTTGCCCAGACAAGGGGACTGAGGTGATTGCTCTATATCCACTTAATCAGAAATCACATTAAGGCTTTCTTTGCACCAGCCCCTCCCACTGGAGTCTTCTGGAAGGTGGGTGCCATTCCAAGAACATGATTTGGTTTGTTGTGTTGAACACTATCCTGGCCATATTGACTGGATTTGATTGGATTCCCTTTATTATCCTGAGGTGACACAGAGGGATGATAAAATCTATTATTGGACACAGTGCCATCCGGAAAGGCCATCAAAATCTGACCTAAAATAAAGGGTGGGGAGTAGAATGTCAGAATTTATCTCTTAAGGTAATATTTCAAAATACTATTGCCATTTTTTTTTCTCTTGGGGCTTATTTTAATATTAAAAAAACACACCTCCTAAACCACAAAATACATTTCCTGCCCAGTTCTAAAAATAAAGCAGCCTAAATACTGCTGTGAATTTTTTTCATTTAAAAAAATCCGCTTCTAGCATATAAATACATATGCTTGCTTCAGCCTGACCACCTGCAGTCACAGGTTTATAAATTGTATAAAAGTATATAGTGTTAAGATGTTTACTAAAAATTTATTAATAGGTTTTCTGAGTTATATAATTTAACTTCCCTGTGACTATTTTATAAAAAGTATTACCTCCACTAACAAAATAATATGTTTTGCTTGATAGATTAGTCATGTACTCATATGCCGCTACAGGTGTACCAGGCACATTATGGCATGTGGTTGGATGCCTTGGAAACGCTGAGGAGGGTGTGGCCAGAGTGTGGGGGAACTTAAAAAAAAAAAACAGTTGTCAGTTGACTCTTTACTAATTTTGTTCTTCTCAGAATAAAGATGTCAGCTGTCCTTTCCAGCAAGACGTTTCATTTGGAAGACTTTCCTGAAATACTTTCTTCCCAAAATAGACAGAGCTGTAGGCCTATGTGTCATTTTAGTTAATCAAAACAAGGAGGCAAATTAGTCTCCTTTATTTTTTTAATGAATGTAATTTAACGGTATTTAATTTGCATACAGCAAAGTTCACCCAGGAAAGAAAAAAAAAGTCTGCATTATGGCACTTTTGTAACCCTCCACAAAGCCCTTCATTAGGAGACCTAATTGATTTTTCCTACCCACTCCTGGGGAAGAAAGCTATCACAGTACCTGCTCATTCACTCCAAGAAGAAATGGGTGTGCCTGGTGGGTGGTTCAAGCAGAGATTTGGGTTAAAAAGTCCTGGGGCTCTGTTCTTGCAGGGAGATCTTGGCCAATGCTTGCTTGGAGCATTCAGGAAATCTTTTTCTGAGCCATAGGGGAACGTCACTTGTCTGCTTGGTGTCCTCCCCATGAGCCCAATTTAGTTTAGCTTGCAGCCTTCACTGGAATTAATTTTATTTCTTGTTTATTTAGACCTGCCTCATTCTAAAAGAGGGGCTTTGAGGCTTCTTATGGAAACATATGGAATATACCCTATAAAATAAATGAGAAAGCGAGGACACTTGAAAATTAGAAATCTGGGAAAACATAGCGAACATAAAATCAGTCCAGAAAATACATGCCCCAGGAGCACTTGTGTTAGGACTTAATGAGCTTCTGATATGCACAGGGGCCGGAGCAAAGACAGGGAGAGCAGCAGTTGTAAGATTTATAGTGCCCAGAAGTGGAGGCAAAGTCAGTTGATCTGAAGTCCAGCTTTTCCTGTTGGACCCTCAGAGAGGCGGCTCTGTTTGAGGTGATGAATCAGCTCCTCAACACACTCTTCAATAAACATGGCTGTTTTGTACAAGTCCTTCCACTCCAGTAGATGTCCAATGGCCAGAGTTAGATCAACTTTCTTCTTTAGTCATTCATTTTCTTTCAAAATGCTCTCAAAGATTCTCCAAACCTTTCTCCCCTTCTTCTCATTTCTTCCCAAGACTCTCCCAGTCACTCATCCCCACTCCCCCTGCAAGCGTTTCAGAGACTGGAAATACTTCAAGTTGGAAAATGTCAGAAGGCTGGCATTGCCCTCCCCACTAACCTAAAGCCACTCACCTTTAAAAATCAAGAAGGGCATGGCACCTATGCGGCAGTCACTCTCCACTAGCCTCTCTGTTCTGGGCCTTGCTATGATGCTCCCAGGATGTACATTTCACAGGTGACAAAACTGCAGCCCAGGAATTAAAAGATCTTGTGTGTGGTAAGTAAGTAGATCAGGGCTACCCTGTGCTCCGCCTCATCTCTTCATCGTGCTATTCCCATCGTGATAAGAAGGTGCTGTGGGCTTTATTTCCCAGTCGGTTGAAAACCACTACACAAGTTTCCTTAACTGTCCTACAGATGTGAGAGACATCATCACAAGGAATCAGAAGGCTGGTATGTTCAAGACTCACAACATTTCAAGCAGGTAAGGCACATTTCTATATTAAAAACACTCCAGCTTGTCAAAATATATATAATATATATATATATATATATATATTTAGGTCATTATATATATATGTAACAAATAAAAAAGAAAAAAAAGAAGTAATGCACCTGTGAATGAAACTGCTTTACTTGATATTGTGGGTGATTATTTCAAATAATAATAGCTAACCTTTATGGAGTACTTACCATGTGTCAGGCACTGTTCTAAGCACTTTACAAGCATTATCCCATTTAATGCTCATGAGAACCCTTTGAAGAAGGTAAACACTCATTATACCCAATTAATAGATGAGAAAACTGAAGATCAGTATATTAAACATTGGGTTGAGGATGATTTTAGGGTTGAGATGATACAATATGAGTTTGGAGAAGCTCAGCCTGGGACATTCTTAAGTGGCTCTATTTCAGTGCTTTTCATCCTGGGACCAGTTTTGTTCCCTGGGAGATTTTTATATTCTCTGGAGATGTTTTGCCATGACTTGGGGCAGGAGGGAGACTGCTGCTTCTGGCATCTGCTGGGGAGAGACCAGGATTATTATCACTGAACATCTTCTGTGCACAGAGCAGTCCTCTTGACAAAGAAGTATCTGGCCTAAGACATCAGCAGGGCTGAGGTTGAGAAACCTTGCTCTATTTTGTGATATTAAAATAGTCTAGGTCTTCATTGCCTTTTAGAGTCTATTAATTCTTTTTCAAACTAAGAGAAGTGCTTGCCCTCGGCCAGAACAATGCTGTGTTCTGTAATGTTACATTTAATTCTAGCCCTATTGGAATGGACCTAGAAGTAATGAGTAAGCATTTAGTAGTTTTCATATGAGGTAACTCTATTTGTGCATTTTTCCTTTATGCATTTAAATATTGACTTTATTAGAAGAGCAATTCCATTCTTAATTATTTCATTTTTACTCTTAATCATTTTAAGTTTTCCTTTTGCTGAGGACACTCCCCACCTCAAATGCCCAGATTGAGAAATAACAAGAAAAAAGTTGAATGAATAGCTCCAATGCTTAAAAACCAAAGTGGTGGACAGATTGGTATGAGGTTATGTAATGATGATAATTTTTTTCTTTTGTATTTGGTAAGTGCAAAAAAGTGTCTTTAGATATAGTTTCAAATCCTGCATTAGAATGTTCTGAGTAGGCCGGCGGCACAGGGGGCAGTATGCACTACATTTCTTAGAAAATTGAACAAACAAATCTGTTATCCACAAACCTCAGGCAGGTCCAGAGAAAGAGAGTCTGCCATTACCTGTGTGTTCCTAATTTTGAGGACAGTCTTTCTCCACAGGAAGGTGGTCATACCCTTCTGAAGAGGACTTCATTTGGGGACATGATTTTCAACCTGGTCTTTTAGTTATCAATCAAAAGTGCATTTTCTATGTCGTCCTCATTTACATTTATTTAATGCTTAAGGTCATTTGTGACCATTTGAGTGTATTTCAGCATATGGAATCAGGGAATAATAGATTTCAGCTTCATGCTGTGAAGAGAGATTGTGTTTTTACAAGACACAATGTTGTTTACTGGGTGTTAATAATCACTAATTAATAAACATATCTAGACTTCTAAAATGCTGCATTTTAAGGAACAAAAATGTCAAGTGTTTATGCAATACAATAGTATTTTCTATCATTCTCTTCATAAAATAATTAAGTTACAAAAAGAAGCAAAATTTTGTTCAGCCCAGGACAGATCCCAGATGCTGAATATGTGGCCTTTGTTTCTATTTTTCTGTTCTCAAAAATGCTATTTCTAAATACAGTGTTCTAATGCCTGTATAGCAATAGTCATATAAGCACCTCTAAGATGAGTGGTTTTGTTTTTTTATTTTCCCATCTTAATCTTACGCTAATTGTGGCCAGATACTTTGCTTTTAACCACTGCAAGCATTTTATCCAAAGTCTACTAAAGCATATGCCAGAAAACAGGTGGATGTGTGAGCCCTTGAATGCCTTGATCTTACAGTAAGGAGCTACTTGACCACTTCACCTTTAACTCTTAGTAGCTGAAAGAAACTGCCAACCAGCAATGTAATAATCAACCTCGCCCTTCTAGCCACTGCTTTCCCACCCATAACCAGTACAATGTGATGAGAGTATTAGTTCCGTGAGAGAAGAAATAAAAGGGAACCATTCACAAAAGAGCTAAGATATAGTTCAATATTCTTTTTTAGTGCCTCAATGCGTATGCAGAATTTCTCCTCCAAATTGGAGGTGTGGAATAACAGTAGCGACAGATAACTAAGAGGTATTTACCATAGCTACAAAGCCCACACGTGAGCCAAATATTTCTGCTATTAAAAAGCACTTCAAAGCTTGACATGAAGTTTGTAACAGCTGAATGTCTCCTGTGACTTCATTTGTGAAGACAATGTGAAAACCAAAAGGAAAGTCATGATATGAGAACCGTGAACCTAAGAAACTGTGTTTTTGGAAAGGAATGAGAGGCAGCCCAGAAATTTGGCACCCCACACTCCCATTCCCCTACTCAGAGAGTGTTCTCAGTGACTGTATGGTTTGGATTAAGTGCCCCCGAAAGGCCCATATGATAAAGGTTTAGACACCAGCCTGCTGTACTATTGGGAGGTAGTGGACCCTTCAGATGTTGAGGCCTTACGGAAAGAAGTTAGGTCATTGGGGACATGTCCTTGAAGTGGGCATTGGGACCCCAGCCTCTTTTGGTCTCTCTTTGCTTTCTGGCCACTATGAGATGAGCAGTTTTCTTTGCCATGTGCTCCAACCACAATGTATTGCCTTTCTATAGCCCCCAAAGCAACAGGCTGACTGTGAACTGAAACCTTCAAAACTGAGCCAAAATAAACCTTTCCTCTTTGTAAATTTATTACCTCAGGTATTTTGTCTTAGTACTAGAAAGCTGACCAACATAGTAACTATCAGTGTTTCTCCTGCCACTGACTTCTTCCTAACTCTTATGAAGGGGCAGACCCAGGTTGTTGTAGGGCCTGAAACTTAATTTAAGGCTTCTTTTTAGAAGGGTGGATTTGAATGTAACCTACTTTGGTGAGTTTACAAGAATATGCAACCATGTGAATACATTATTAGGGCTCCTGGGAAGGGGTCTTTGCCAAGTGAGGTGCACTGATATAAGCTTAATTAGCCTTGTAGTAAGTCCACCCTGCTCTCCTAAATACCACCATCCTTGCCCAGAGTAACTCTCTTCTCTTACATACCATACTTGCTTGCTTTCTCTGGTCCATTTTAATCCCAGTCTGATTATGGCTAAATATAAAAGACATATTTGTGAAAGCCTGGAAGCCTTAGCCCTGGCTAGAGCTAGGATGCAGATGTACAGAGTGTCCTATGCATTACATCTCAAAGATCTTAGTGCACCATTTGATGGTTCACTTGTTTATCCATCCATGCAGCCATCCATTCATTTAGCAAATATGTCCAAGGCACTTGTCTTTGGGAACCTAAATATGGAGTTATTGAGAATAGTTCTTGAACAAAGGAAACTGTACTACCAAATATAGCTAGAGATTAATGAAAGAGCAGGGATATTTACAGCATCTCAATTGTTGGGTTTATCTGAAGCTGTCTTCAAAATTATGATTGTCTGTTTAACAAAGAACCATTTGGAGCTTTTGACGTCTACATGTTTCTAGGTCTTCCAAAATTAGCAAACAACGTCATTCTCTGGTTAATATTAGTTAAAAGTTGGTTTTTCCTTTATAAAACTATTAAATTTACCTTGAATTACATTATTATTTTTAAAAATCCTTCTTAAATTTACTTTGCTGCAATGTTGAAAGTGAGATTTACTTGGGCGTTTATCTTTGTGTGAAAGTTGCTATTAAATTAAGCTCTGATAAACTATCAATTTTAGTAAACTCTGGAACTTATTTTAAAACTTTTATAATGCAGATTTTTTTAAAATATATTTTTTGGTGGTGCTTGGAATTGAACCCAGGGCCTTGTGCTTGTGAGGCAAGCACTCTACCAACTGAGCTATATCCCCAGCTCCAGATTTTACCTTTGTGTGGGCCTCCCAGGATTGGCCTCTTGCTCCCATTGCCCTATTGCTGTTTGAGATTCATGTCTTTTCTGAGTCTCAGTTTCCTTTAGAGGTCAAGTTGGGGATGTGGAAAATGATTTTTATAATATATATCCCAACCAAGAAGGATCCAGTTGGCTGCTTTTTCCAAGCCTTCTGCATCTGCTCATCCCTTCTGTTATGGTTTGGATGTGAGGTATCCCCCCGGAAGTTCAGTGTGAGACAATGCAAGAAAGTTCAGAAGAGAAATGATTGGATGATGGAAGTCTTAACCCACTCAGTGAGCTAATCCTCTGATAGAGATTAACTGGTAACTGAAGTTGTAGGGTGTGGCTGAGGAGGTGGGAACTGGGGGTGTAGCTTTGGGGGGTACGTATTTGTATCTGTCAAATGAAGACCTCTTTCTGCATCCTGTGAGCTGCTCTTCCACCATGATGGAGCTGGCTGTATAGGGACAGAGACCTCTGAAATCATGACCCCTCAAATAAACTTTTCCTCCTCTACAAGTGTGCTGGTTGTGTCCTTTGGTCCCAGCAGCAAAAAAAGCTGACTAAACACCATCTATCCCCCACTGTTCCCCAACCTCCATCTTCTCCTTCAGTCACCCTGGTCTCCTGGGTTAGCTTCTGTCACTGTAACAAATCTCCTGAGATGATTGACTTACAAAGAAAACGAAAAGATTTATTTTGGCTCACAGTTTGGGAGATCCCACTCCAAGATCGTGTAGACCTGTTGCTTTGGGTTTCCGGTAGATGTGTCCAATGGCATTGGCAGAGAGCACATAGCAGAACAAACTGCTCACCTCATGGCCAGGAAGCAAAAATAGAGAAGGGAGAGGCCAGGATCCCACAATTCCTTTCAAAGATACACTCCCAGTGACCTCAGCTCCTCCTACTAGGTCCCAACTCTTAAAGGTCGCGCCATTTTCCCATAGCACCATCGCTGGGACAAAGCCTGTAACACA